AAGTTAATAATTAATGTATAAATTAATTATTAATAATAGTAATAATAAATTATTTATTTATTATAAATTTACATTAGTATACATACCTATATATTTTGTATTCCATTCAGTGTATGTTAAATTCCGTTCATAAAATTTCTAACTATAACTCCTATACGTTTTTCCCAAAGTGCATTTAAAACATAACTATTCGTAAAAGTATAATTTCATAAGCGTATTTTATTTTTCACACAAATTCCATCTTTTTACGTAATATTTTCCAAAATAAATCATAACGATAAGGCATTAGACGTGTCCTCTAAAGAATTAAACATAGATTTTTTAATTATTTTTAAAACCTTGTCAAACGAATATGTGCCGAAAGACACTTCGACTAGGCACTTGCCTGTTTTTCGAGATGCGTGAAAATGTTAAACGTCTAGACCGTTTATTACAAACAAGAGCATCTGATCCGACTGTACCTATAGCTGAAAGGAAATTGGCATGCACGTGCAAATGAAAAAAAAATTATCAACCGCCACTCACAGAGCGTACAAAAATGTTGTCATTACACTTTGGACGGCGGCCGATGCGCATTCGCGCGATTAGACAGAACAACACACACACACACACACTCAAAAACAACACAGTATTCTACAAAAAAAAAAAAAAAAATCACTCTAAACTACTGACTTCCGACTTACTAGAAGACGCCAGACGTCAGCGACGTTGGTTGCACACAGACACGGTGGGACCGATACACCGTACGCTACCTAAACGTCGCCTTTGCTGCGACAGGCGGTGGCGCGTTTCCGAATGCCTGCCCCCTTCCGCCGGCCAATCCATACGCCACCGCCGATCCGTCATCAACCAGCATCGTCGACACAAGCACACCTCTAACTACACCGCAATAACATCCTTTGCGATCACCGTAAGTGGTGGCAGACGAACCTCGTGCCGCGCGTTCCATCGCCAACGTGTTTATACGCACGGCGTGCGAGATTTACGTCCAAAGACGTATGCGGTTCTAAATATCTAAATAACAAAACCGAACCGTCTTATTGATTCCTCTCCGTCGTTCCAATCGTATACAAATAAATAATTGCTCGTCAATTCTCGCTATATCCGGTACCGAAGGTCGATCCCGACGTTGTCGCCGTCGTGTCGAATACTGTACACATATAAAAAACGAAACACACACACACGTCGTTCTGTATTAGCTTGTTGTAATGACAATTTATATTAAGCCAGTTTGGACGCATACTAGTTGCGGACGAAATTATTCAGGTCAATATTGTAACATAACAATTGCGGACACGTTTTTCGTTATCATAGTACTAGTTGCGTACAAAGTTTTTTTTAAATAAAAATCATGTAATTTGCGGACACAAATATTTCCCTTCACCACTTTTTCATTTTTATAGTTTTTGTGGCAAAAATTTTTTTGAAACAGCATGTATAAATGATAATCTACTGATTTCACCATTTGAATATTGCAACATTTGTTTACTAATAATATCCTCTTTTTCGACAGTTCTTTTGGCTCGTTTTAAATTTCTTACAGCAGTATAGTTTATTTTAGGATAGCTACTAGTCTGTACTTCATTTATGGCCTCGATCAATTGATATATATTAGGGTGACTGCGATAAAACATACCATTAAGTTTAGCATGGAAACTTTCACAAGCATTTGTGGTTCGTGAAATAGATGAAGAAAATTCTGCCCATATTTCTGGAGGAAATATTGCAGAATCTGTATTTATATAGTTCAAAAAAACATAATCTGTAAAATCGTGTATAGCAGTATAGCCAGCCGGTAGCGTAGACATAAAGTCATCTGTAAAGCAGTCATCCACTTCGTTAGGTGACAAAAACGGTAGACCAAAAAATGATTTTAAAAAGTTCCCATTTTCGCCCTCATTATTATATACTTTAGCTAGACCTAATGACTGTATTTTTCGGTACCAAGCTTGTCCGAGATGGAACCGACATCCTTTTATTTTGCTCATTGACCATACTAGACGAACAGCTGAGTGAATAGATTGTTCAAAATCAATATGAAAAGTAGTTGGTAGGATTGGTGAACGTTTTTTTAAAAATTCTAGTGCTGTACAATAATCAGTAACTGATTTGCCTACCAAAAAACAAAAAAATAATGGTACGTAAATACTATTTTTTACGCCATGGACCACGAATAATTGATTGTACGCAATTAGTATGTTACATTTGTGTCCGCAATTCGTATGTTACCTTTTTAGATTTCATCCGCAACTCGCATGGTTTTTGTGACTTTGTCCGCAACTAGGAAACACCGGCCAGTTTACCACATTTCTATGTGTATAGGTGTTAATATAATATATTATTTTCTCATTTCGTTTATGTTATTTGTATGTGTGCGTATATTACTCACACACATTTATGGTGGTAACTATTAGCAGCGTCCAGAGGGTATACTGTCGGTGGAAGTTGGCGGAGGAATAAACGCCACTCGGCTCCAATAGATACGTCGACTGTCGCTTCATCTGTGTCCACTACATCTATATCATCCAATACGCCAACATTGCCAGATCACAGCATTTCAACAGAGATGACAGACGAAATAACCAGTCACCAAACGACTGGGTCGACAACCACCTCTTCGACTGCTATGACTTCATCTTCTACTTACCTTGACAGCAGTAACAGCAGCCAAAATTTCGTAGACACCACTACTATACAACCTAAAACTATTAATACTACGATTACCACTGCTACCACTTTCTTGACAGCTATGCCGTCGACTTTACCATTTTCGCCACAACAGACGACTTATCCCGAACGACAATTACCGTCCTTTTCAACTACTTCTGCTTCTACTACGTCTACTACTACTGCTAGTACTACTACTACTACTTCTCCTCCTCCTCCTTCTTCTTTTACTACAAGTACAACTAACTATCCGGTTACCGATTATCATTACCGTCAACAGCAACAACACCAACAATCGAATTATAACAACAATGATTATTATTACCGGGGACGACAACAACACTATCCCCCACCACCACCTGGCAGCACTAGTACGGATTATAATTACTATTATCAACAGCGACAGCAGCAACATCCACAAATGCAATCATATTGGCCATCGCAACAACATCTCAATGGTACAAACGACTATAGTAATGGTTATCAGCAGCAAACGACTGACAGCGGCGGACGCAGGACAAGCGATTATTACTATCGGCAGCAACAACAAAATTCCTATAACCATCAATACAACAATGATCGCCAGCAACAAACGCCACGGCCTCGTGACGCATCACTTCCGGTACAACATCCAAGCGGCGGTAGTTGGAACGTGCACGGTGACCGACCACTGTACATAAGCAGTAGTGGTGGTGGAGGTGATTACAACCGAGAAATCTTTGCTGTTGCTCGGAACAGCTCTACTGGTATTAGTAGTAGTAATAACGGTGGTTGGGCGACGGCGGAACAACAACACTGGTGGTATCAACAACAGCAACAGCAACAACGACAGCAAGAACAACAAAATCAATACCAGCAACGGCAGCAGCAAAACAACCGGGGTCTGAGTGGAATTTTGTCGTTACCGCCCGTGCCGCTGCCACCACTGCACGTGGAACAGGGGGCCGTCACTGTCTCGATGTCCACATCACCGCCACTCCATCTTCGTCGACCGCAGAAACCTCCAAACCACTACTACCTGCCAACGCTGACTACCAAAACTACTTCTACTCATCCGTACCGTTTGCGGTCGAAGTCCGAAAGTCGATATTATGAAGGTATACTACGATTGCAGAACTAAAATAATTGTCAACAAGCCATTCGTTTCGACAATGATTAGCACACGGATCTCCAACACCACAGTCACGCGTGTTTGAATACTTCACAATTATAGCATGATTTTTACTTTTATGTTTGCCTGTAATTTCCAACCTCCACCGTCTTTAAACCACCCTTTCACACTACACCTCGACCACACCTTCACTATTATACGTGTTTTTTTTTTTTTTGTTTTTTTTTTTACACAATATGTTTACTGCCACAAACACCATTACATTATTCACATCATAAACCTATTGAGTCAATGGATAGTTTTCAAATAAAACGATGGTTGACTTTAAAACTCAAATAGCAAATTGTATTGAACATTTATGAACTATTTAATATCATCGTAATTTGAGCCAACGTGTACTATGATTGAAAACTGTATCGTTAGATTAGAAATGCATATTATTATTTTACTTATATTACTTATGCGGTATCCATTTGATTAATAGGTCTATGAATAATACACTGATTAAAAATAAAAATATTTGTAATCACCTAATTACAGAGTATTATAAACTGATAATTTTTGCTAATCGATTGCATATTTTCTGTGCAGAACGTGAATACAAATGCCTCGGCCAATGGACTGAACCACAGCAACACATCAACCCAGAAGTTGGCGAAAAAGCAATCATGTTGACATACATATATGTTAAGCGTTTGAATCCAATCGCCAACAACACTGACCAATTCGAATGTTTTGTCGGAACAATAATACCAAACGACGAAGGTTCAAATCCTGAAACTACTAAAACACTCTTGTTAACGGAAGCTGGTAGTGGAACTTTGTGCAGTCGCCGATCGGACCCATACCGTTCTGGCATGAAGTTGGTTGGAACCAAAATTAACAAAGAAGGTAGGTAACAATTAAATTATCGTAATTTTAGCTGTAAATTTAAAAATTGTATAGTTGGGTTATTTCTGTTGTCATATTACTGATTCTTTATTAAAAAATTCCCGATTTCTCGCTTGGAAAATAATTGTACATTGTTCCTTCCGTTTTCTTGTACTCGATCCACTTCTGCATATTACAATATTGCAATATTATATTCTATTTAAAACTGATTGGGAAAAAAATCAGGTGCTTGCAAGGGATCTGAGCAACCAGCACAAGACATCGCTGGCGGTTCGTGGTATCCTCTTAAACCACAGCCAATTTCTCCGTCTATTCCCAGTGCCGAAAACAGCGGAGGCACCTGGTATGCTGCGCCCCCTGTTCCCGTGGTCGCACAAGGTCCAACCACTATGATGCCTATCCTTACAGGCAGGCACACCGGTGGTAATGGTTAGTATTAACTTTGAAAATTTGGCCGGAAATCATTTAGATAATATTATAAGTTATGATATTGTTACAATATACAGTTAAGAGAAGATTGATTCTATTTGCACTCTAATTGATGATGATTGCCAATAATTTTATTTGATCATAGTGGTCAATTCACATTTTTTTTATTATCGAATGACACATATGCCTATATTTTAAGTTTCAAATTTCAAATTTTCATTCAACATCCAACATTATTCACAACCATTTTAAATACTCATTTTTTTCCTTTTATTTTCAACTTTTTTTTTTATTTTCACAGGAGCCTTATTCACATCACGCCAGAATGAACGTCGTCCACAGTCAGCCACTCCACCTCCTAAAACCAACGATGGCAACCAAAATCTATCCGATAATAACGTTATGCTTCTAGTGATCATTCTGTTTATTGGACATTTACAATTTATAACACATCGATATTTCTAATCAAACACAGACACAATGTATTTACAATAATTTATAATAATAAAAATACTAATAATAGTAAAAAATTAAACACAATAACGCACAATCTAGGCCAAACTTAAAAGTAGACGAAATTCATTCAATCGATTTGTTTATTATACATTCATTAATTTCACAAGCAATAAAATGAAAGTTTTGTAAAAAAAAATTAAAAAAAAAAAATTTAAAAATGCTTATTTTTTTAAGAATTCGAAAAATTAGATTAAGTTAAAATCAAGTAATATGAATACATATCATTTTTAGCATATTTAATATTATATAAGCTATTATCTGATTTTTAAATATCGTCATAGGTTATATTATTTTTAGATTTATATTTTTATTTCATAATGATCATATTTTTTTTTACTGTTTAAATTAAAATAAATAAAATAGTGTAATATTTTTTAAATAAACTGAGAAAAAATACCTATACTATAAATTGTATCGACATTAAAATCAGAACACATATTGCTCAACTATAATTTATGACCAATAATAAAAGGTTTAAAAATACATATTAGTCTACATCATGTAAATATTATGACTATTAACATTTTTTTTCTTATGTTTAATTAATATACTTAATTATTTTACTTTTACATTAATTATTTTATCATAATATAAGTACCTACTTATTATATTTTTTTTTTACCTACTTTTTATATAATTTGTGTTTTTATCATTTTATAATTAATTTTAAATTTAAATAATTTTACTATCAATATAATTGTATTATATTTTTTTAAATCACATTATTATATTTTACATGTCTACTATTATTTATAATAATATTTAAGTATGCTTTTTTCTTTAGCTTTTAATTTTTTTCATAATAAACGCCTTTTTCCAACATTTGTTATTAAAACTTTTTACATGTACTTACTACCTACCTATTATATACATATTATACACTAGTGAAAAGTTTGAAGACTTAAAAATCATCATTCAGTAAAATATACATTTTACATTATAATGTATATTTAAAGGTTTTATTTTAAGGTATTAATTGTTAATATATTAAATGAACAATAATCAGTGAAGCGAATAATAAGAATATGAATGTATAATTCATTATTATTTTCAAATAGATTGACACGATAAATTAATTTCCTATCTAATAATGTTAAGTGGTTGCTCAAATTCGTTTGTTATAAATGTTAGATGGGTGAATACCCATAGTAAGGCGTGATGTATTGATATCACAATTCACAGGTGACGGGAAGGAACAACTCCTCCCTTAACTACTCTACAAGTTAAAAAATTGCAATATGCAAATCCAAAATTAATTATAGGTACCTAGTCTGTTCTCTGTAAGTACTTGCAGTGATTAATATAAGTGATAACTATTCAATTTTGGAGTAAAATTATTGGATTCATTTTAATTAAATAATACAAAATATGGAACAAATATTTTTCCATACTATGGATATAAATTAACACAGTGATTACTTGTAAGTAATTTTTATGATAATATTTCGTGATATTAAACTAGATTTGTTAACTTATGATAATAGTTGAAGTTAAAATCCGTAATTTTTGTGGGAATTATGGGTTTTATCTCAGAATATTTTGACAATTCTGCACTATTGCTTATTATCAACAAAAAAAATTCATATAAAGATTTATATAAGTACACCATGTCATGTCGTTATTGTAATAATAAATTGATGAAATTCTAATATTTATATTTGTGTATCTCTTTATTCAAGTCTTTATCATAGATATTATACTACTAAACTAACTTTTCCTAGCTGTGGTACTAACCGGTCAGACACATTGTAGTGAAGTATAGTATGATAACATCAACGTTGGTATTGTGTCTAGTACATTGTATCAATGCATAGTATAAAATGAAGTTACTTTTTTTCGGGAAGAACTCCGAAACCGCTGAATGGATTTTGATGCGATTTTTACTCTTAGATAGGAAATTAACAAGGAAAATTTGTATAACTTGACTAATATTATTTTTATGACATAATCAGATTTGTACTTCAGAGACATAGGATAATATCATTATTTAAATAACCATTAAATTACCAAAGCGTACTGAACCCTCTAACGTATCGGTATACTTCAATATAATGTAGATTAAGAATCTTGAGTTCAAACCACAGCATCAGATGTCCATTTTTTACATTTTTTTCCTCTTATTACTTATTATTTGTTAACATTAATTATGTTTAACTACAAAAATGAAAATTTAAAAGATATTTGACTTGCAATTCTTTTCACTAGAGACGGGATCTAAGACGTTTCGGCGAAAATTAATGGTAAAAAAAAAATTGTAATTTACGGTTAAAAAATACCAAGATTATATATTCACACAAGAGTTAATAAATAGGATGACCTATAAATTATAATATAAATAACACCAAACACCGGTTTATGAATAATAATAATAAAAGTATAATATTTAACTTTAAACTATAAATCGATATTAGATATATATATATATAATACATATAAATGTGCTGTAACTATCAAGTTCTCTCAACAGCACATACAAATCGCACGTAAATAATAATAGGTAATACAAAAATTTATCGATTCCGGTGATCGCTAATCAGTCCGGCAGTCAAAAAAGATATCCAAGGACGGACGTCGGACAATGACTCATATAATCGCCAAATAAAGATATAGATATATCTCTGGATCGACGTCGGCGGCGTGACACTTCACGTAAATTATATATACATATATATGTATGTATGCATGTATATATTGCGGATGTAATAATAAATATAATAATATATATGGACTGTATTACAAATCCATTGCCCACGACACGATTTCGCACTTCACTTTCTTTAAAATATATTTTGGAGTCGAATGAAAACGTGCATGAAACACACCGTATACGTCCGGTCGCATTAAATCCAGTGGGGGGAGGGGATCAACCCAAACAACGACGTCAGTGACCACAGGCGCGACGTGAACACTTCAAATATAAAGACATTAGAAGCGTAATTATAGCAATACACATTCACGGGCTAAAGCGATTTCCGCAAGTTCGCACTAAAAACTTTTGACATAATTATTGTTACACACAAGCTACTTTATTATATACGGCAATTCGTACTTCACCTGTCGGCTATGGTCGAGTAACTAAAAATTATAAAATTATCTGACTAGTCTACAGCCAAATGAACCATAAATCAACTATCTTATCTTACAACTGTTTATTATAGATTGTTCCGAGTATATGGCCAAATTAATCACGCATTGAAAAGTACCTTGACGTATCGCCGAAACGGACATTGTCGAATTGACATTTCGCCGAAACGTCCCATTCCACTAGCGACGCCGTGCGAATACAGCTAAGTACTGATTTAATATTATGTCATGCAGTCAAAAGTCGCACATGAAGAGCGCCCTTTATTTATGACCGTTCTACGTATACAAAAAGCACAGATTTTTAAATATAAAGTATAGAAGTCTGTGACAAAAGGCTAGTCTAGTAGTATAAGGTCTATGATCTTCTTACACAGACTTTTATGTAACACTAGATAACGAATTCCCGTTATCAGTTGAATATTGATTATCAGTTTCTGTCATATTTTGGATTGGAAAATCATTATTGTAATGCATTATGTAGGTATATTATGCACTAAGTAATTCGAGTATTATACTACAAAAGAGTATATTCCACTAATTATTGAAGTTTTATACTCTTATTCTGCTTTAATTGCACATAATATTAAAATATAAATTGAATTGATTTAAACTATAATTTATAAAATCCATATAAGACTTGGTAACAATAATTATTCAAATATTGTTGAATCAAAAAAATTTTGTTAAAAATGTAGTTTCATCACCTTATATCATCAATTATATAGCTTTTAACAATGCATCAGAAAATATTTTTAAAAAACGTAGGCGTAAAAAGTTAGTGTTTTATTAAATGTAGATTCCAATGAAAAATCTCTTTCAAGTATTCTATTATTTTAATTTTTTAAAGGCTATGATTTTGATGTTTAAAAAAATAGTCTTTTTACTTGTAGAGAAAATTTATTAGAAAATAATAATAATATGCATATTTTATAGTCTTACACAATATAAGTGTTAAATTTAATTAGGTTTAAAACACGGAGGAGGAATTATAAAATATTCAGATGTTGTAATTAAAATAGATAGGTTTGCTGAACATAAAATTATTGATTTTACTATCAATTTTACTTCTATTATTACGTCTTTAACAACTTGGTAATAATTTTAACAAAATATTGTTTTTAATTATAGTTTTTTTTTAATTTTAATTATTCTGAAGAAAGTTTATTAAATAGATAAATTATATCTGGTGACAATTATGTGTAAATAATACTTAAAAATGCATTTGTATTATGTTGCTAAAACAAAAAAGTCTAAGGTTGTCAGTAACCACCGTTAGTATACCAAGTTAATTAAATTTAATTACAAATAATATTATCTTTCATTTTAATTTAGGTCGCAATATTATATATATAAATCAAGTTTTTATATACTTTAAATAGTACTTATTTTTTATAATTAATGATTTATAAACTAATACTTGTAAATCAATAAAAAGTATAATTTTTAAGTAAGTATCTCTATTTATTAAAAAAAATAAATAATATTTATATATTTTAAACTCACTCATTTTTGAGATAAATGTTTTGAACCAAAATCTTGATGGCATTTATCTAAAACACTTGAATGATGATCACAGCTAATCTTTTAGAACTGTAGTCTGCAGTAGGTCGTGCTTGCAACAAAACTTGAAAAGCCGTCACCGAATCTTGTACAGACGATCTGCAATCGATATGAAGTCATACCACATGTAAAATCATCTTAAACTTTCGAAATATATGGTCATACCCGCACAATACGTTAATGAAATGCAGTCGCTTTTAAAAATACACATGACTAAAGCGACTAGCCACCAAATCAACGTAGTACCTAATTTATCTGATATTTAGCATTACACTGGTGTTTGAGTGAATCATTATTATTTAGTACCTACAGCTAGATATATTTAACGAATACCAAGCAAAGAAGTTATAGTTGTTAGGGTGTGGCACTTTTGTGCGCAGTAAATAATAGTTGAACGGCTTCAGCGGAGACCACGGACGAATTGACGATGTTCAGGCAGCATACAAGCTTATTTCGGCGAAGCTGGGATGAGAAGTGGAGTGTTAGTGAGAGCGCGTCGCTCGCATTTCCCAGGCCATGAATCACCTTTGTTGTTACGGTAACGGCACCCCTCGCCGATACCATTAAAACATATATCGATCGAGACCGTTCACTTTCACCCTCGTATCGTGCACATGACCCTTCTACGGCGAGGATGCCCGTCTACCGGGTTGTCGACTGAACCCGGCAATCAATCACTGGCACCTCAAAACCATCCCCACCATCCACGCTGCCGATCAAGACCCTGGATATCCAGTCTCGAGGCCTCGCCCTCCATTGAATATTTTTAACGCAATTCCCAGTCTGACCTCACAGCTAAAACTTGCAGGAGTACGGCTATTGTTACATACTTGCTCAGTATAAACGATATGTTGGCAACGAAAAATCAATAGAGGTCGCCGTTCCCGGGACCATCGCCCTCGATCGGACACGTCGCATCCCTTTCCTCTACTATTCACCTACTCTTAGGTCCAATACAAAAATTTAATGCAATATCCAGAAAATTTAACAACGAAATGTTAATTAAATATAAAATATTTACCATACGATCACTTCACTAGTCCTTATTTGCAATACTGTATAGTGTATTGGTCTTAAAGAAATTTTTATTGTTTCAAGAATCTGCTAGAATTTTTTACACAAACGCTATTAAATTGATCTAAATTTAATAATATAAAAAAGGATTAATAATAAAAATTAAATTGTATTCAGTGAATAAACATGAATATGATAATCGTTTGAATAATTTTAGAGTGAAAGTTACCAATATTGAATACAATATTGACGTCTTGATGACCTTTATTAATTTAAATATATAATAAAATATTCAAAACTTTAAGTATAATTATTATAATAATTATGAAAATTACAAATTTACAAAGAAAAAAAATATTCAATTTTACTTTTTGTGTAAGTAATTTATTACATTTTTATAATTATTTAATTTCTAAATAAAATTAGAAATAATAAATAAACAAAGTTTACATTTATAATTAATATAAAAAAAAAGGTTCAAGACTGTAAAGTGATTGATACAAGAAAATGTTCAACATTTTTTGATACTATTCGTATTTGAGTGTAGAAATATTAAGATACGCTGATCGATCTATAGGTACGTATCAAGTAACTGGATAAATTAAAAAAGCATTTCAACAAATTCTTAATTTTGATACTTAAATTAATATTTACTTATCTCAACAGTATAAAAAAAATATAATTTTACCTACATTTGATGAGCTAAGTTTATTCAGTACGTTTTTTGTGTTTATATATTTTTCAATGTTTTCAAAATCCATTTTTTTCTGATTATCTCATTTTAGCCAAGTATGTAAATCGTATTGTATTTTTTTTAGTCAAATGGATAGCAAATACAATATAGTTATAAAACAAAATTGCTATTTTATGCAATATCTCTCGATTTTGTAATTAAATGTTCTGTAAAGACTGGTGTCCTAACTGGTTGTCAACAATGCTATTTGACTTTAGAATCAACCCTCCTTTAATTTTGTACCTAGTTGTTATTTAATATTAAATGTCATGCGTAAGGTGAAAATAAAAAGGGGAGACAAGTTTTTAAGTAATAATATACATCATAATTACTATTTATTTAATGTTACGTCTATTGTCAAAGATAATATTGATTAATGACAATACAATTAATAATAACTATAATACAGCATCATAAGAGACGTGTGCTCGTGGTCATCACATCTTGAAATATTAATACTGATGCAAATGCCTTCGATAATATCAGAACTGTATTTTACATTATGGGTATATGAGGTAGAATAGTTGAAGTTAGATTTTTTATACTTCACTGCACGACAGAAAAATCAATAAACTACGCGCACACGCTTAAGCCCACATTACGTGCGTAAACAAGGTTAGCGAAAAGTTAATGTTTAATCTTCAAAATTGTAAAAAGGATTCGAAATAACAAAATTAAGGTAATTATAATAATAATTGAATAAAAAAAATATTACTAAACACATTAAAAGTTTAAAACCACAATACTCAAAGATTAATTTAAGACACTTCGTTATCATTTTGTTTATTGACAATATCATTAAAATTAAATTTATACAAGAAAACATGATCTATTCGATTTATGTTTATAAAATATTCGTTTTTATAGTTTCTGAACATTACGGTAAATTTATGGTATTCAAATTATGCGTCTTATAATTTTTCATTTAATTTATGGTTTTCTATATCTGTTATATAATTTATAATACAAAAAATTCTTTGATCTTCAACTTTATGAAAAAGGTTTCTGGTAGCAATTTGGTTTCAGTTAGTAAATCAAAATCAGAATGTTTTTCAGTGCTTCTTTTACAAGATAATAGAAAATAACAAAAAAAAATTTACAAAAAAAGGATAATAAACATTTTTTGAGAATGATTAAATTTAAAAAATATTTTGATCTATTTAAAGACACTTGTATAGTTTTCTAGTTTTGGATTCTTCAATTCTTCAAGTAATGAAAGTATGCTTTTACATTTACAATGATGCAAGTTTTTTTCTTATGTGTTAATGCATATGTATATATGATAAGTAGGTAGTCAAAAACCTATTTTAATTTTCAAATTTGAAGGAGAATTTTAGTAGAAAATTGGATCTATTTTGTACTTTTAAGAGGTCATAATTAAATATTTTAATATTTTTACGAAAATCCAGTTTTTAAAAAATTATTTTTTTTGTTTTTTAGTGTAAATAGAAAAAATAACTATAGATATTTGAAATTTTCATAAAACGCTTGTTATTATATCATAAAATGGAAACATTTTCAAAATATAATGACTCTTTTTAAGATATTAATAGATACTTAAAATTTTCGATTTTTTTTTTTTAGTGTTTTGTTTTAAATAATAATAAAAAAATTTGCACAGTTAAAAAACTTGAAAATATAATACAAGACCCTACATAGATGTTCTTTTACATATATATTATACAGTAGACGCCGCTTATAAGACTCACGGATATAAGGTTCAGTCGCTTACTAGACTCAAAATCGTTTGGAACGGTCCGGACGTATCCAAATACATTAAAAAAAAATCGGTTATAACACTTCGGTTATAAGACTCAAATTTCGTAAAATTTAGAAATAAATTGGTATTGAAAAATTAAATAATATTCGTGTTGATTATTTCTAGTTTCTGTTGGTACCTTATAACATATAATAATTTTTATTGCAACGATAATTGTTATTATAATGTACTGATTATCTGACGGCTGCACAGTTATCGTAATTACGGGTACATAAGTACATATACGTACACGTGCACATGTACGTATATGCAGTTATCATTGCAGTCAACGGTATAATTGTTGTGCAATGAAAAATTACAAATTTTGTTCAAAAATAATTTTTCAAAATAAATAATTTTTATATGTAATATTTACCTATTATAATTTTAGTTTTTTTTTTATCGGGATTATTAAATGTATTCAATAATAAAGTATGTAATATGTAATATGTGTTAATGTATTAAAATCAAAGCAAAATATGTAGTAAAATAAAATTTATAAATACGTAATTAATTTTTTTTTCCACTTCGCTTATAAGATTCATTCGGTTATAAGACTCACTTTGTGCTGGTCCCAAAGTGAGTCTTATAAGCGGCGTCTACTGTATATATTAATAGAAATTCATTGTCAAAATTTTTTTATGTGTATTTGTAATTAAAAATCCATTTAAATTTATCTTCTTATATCTAAGGTTTAAAAATGCAATACAAGATTCTTCATAAGTATACATTAAATATATTAGTTTTTTATAAATATTTTAAATTTGAATTTGGACAATACATATTTTGACAAATAAATAAATTCATTATTTTCATTTTATTTTGACTCTTTTTGACTTATCTATAGACATTTAAAACTTTCATTTTTTTTTTTTTTTTATATATATACATATAAATATTGATAAATTTTGACAGTTTAAATAACTTAGCTTTTTGCAGTTGATGTAAGAATTTTTTTTAATAAAATTATAAATTATGAATTGTATTGTTTCAATGTTATATGACCTTCAACTGCTATGTTATACAAAAAAAAAAAAAAATAATAAATAATATTTGTTAAATTATTAATTTGAGATGGATAGGTATATAGTTTAAATTAATAAATAATAATTAATATACCTATATCATATAAAGTAAAACGGTATTTACACTGTAAAATGTACATTATAATAAAAGTTAAATAAAATTGTTTTTTATAATTTAGTAAAATAGAAAAACAGCCATTTTTTATGTGATTTACATAGTAATTAAAAACAAATAGATTAACTTTTTTTAAACTGAGTTAAGTTAATATTATTTTTCATATTAAATTTTAACTTATCGAGTTAAATTTATAATTTGTTAACGGTTAACTCCTACTTATTGACCTTAATATGTTCATTTAACTTAACTTGAGTTAATTATTTTCTTTAACTTGCTCAACTTTGTATATTACTAATATTACTATATTTATACACACAATAATATTTTTAAATTAAATTTTAATGAAAAATAATTCAAACTACTGTATTACTAATAGTAAATAAATTACTTTACTAAATATTTTACTTTACTTTAATAGAAATATTAAAAAATATAACATGAACTATACTT